AAAACATTTTTTCTTGCTTAAAATTACCATAAAAGGAAAATTTTTAACAAAACGGACGTGATCAGGAGAGAGTTTTTCCTCTAAGAAAAAAAAATCTATTTCAGCAAGAGTTTTAAGGCATATAGTACAAATGCATGAAAAGATCTTTGGATCCATGCCAATCTCTACAAAATCACTGAATCAAATCAAAAACACACTTATCAAAGAAAGACAATAATATTAAAGAGTACTATGCCGAACTAGTATACAAAACATCACTAAAAACTTCATCAAATTCTGAAAAAGACCAAAGAGCTTTATCAAAAATGCTTTAGGCAATCTCAAGCCCTCATTAGACCCTAACTTTATACAAGATGACCAAGGCATCCTTACAGACAATCCAGAGGAATAAAAAGCATTATAACCAATCACTTAAGAAAGGTTCTGATGAATAATAACTTCAGCCTGTCTGATCCATACTAGTCCAACAAGTACAATCCCATCGACACAATCGAAGAAAGTATATATAACAATACCCTGAACCCAATTTGCTTGACTGAAATTAAGGGTACACTGCAAGATTTACTCCTAGATAAGACCCCAGGGTACTCAGATATCATGTATGAGATGATCAACTCCCTAGAACGTGCCTTAAAACAAATACTAGTACAGCTATATAACAAGGTCATCAACAATGAAATTACTTTATAGAGTTAGAAAAAGTCAACAATTGTCTTGCTATCTAAAAAAATTATATGGTCATATAGAATCTCAGACACCCGTCCAATATTCTTAATCAAGTCGACAAAAAAAGTTTTTACAAAAATCATTAACACTAGACTATCGAAAACACTATACGAGAACAACATTTTGTCAAAAGCTAGCTTTGTCGGGTTACCTAATCAGAGCACAATAGAACCACTGATCATTGCTGCCTCAACCTTAAACACAGCAAAGAACCTGAATGACAAGCTTTGGCTAACTTCCTTCGATATCGCAAAAGCATTTGACTCAGTTAATCTTAGCAGCCTTAAAGCTGCCCTTAAGAGAATCAAAATTTCAAGCAAGCTCATTAACATTTTTTATAACTTGCTAAACAAACAAGAATTAACAATAGCAACAAATTTCGACAGTATAAACAATATAGAAATATCAAAAGGCTTAGATCAAAGAGAGATACTTTCACTACTGTTGTGGACAATATTCTATGATCCAATAGTGACAACAATTCATAATCACATCAATCAACCACTAATCCCATACAACATTCTTACATACTGTATATGGATAATGTGCTTCTCACAGTACAATCACTAAATAGTCTTCAAAACCTCATAAACATCTTCTGCTCCTTCCTTGCCCTTAACAACATCAAATGAAACTCAGATAAAATGATGCTAATTAGTACTTTAGCCAACAACAACATCACAAGAATTACAAGACTAACAGTTGCAGATACAGTAATAAGACCACTCAACATCAAAACCCCTCTTCATTACCTAGGCAATTTTTTTGCAGAAGATCCAGCCAAAAGTATTCCAAATCAGTCCTGCATCAAGGACCTTAGCCAAATCACAGAAGCATGTCATAAACAGAAATGGAATGGCCCAATAACGAAACAAGTGCTGGACTGAATCATTCCCAGCAAGATCAACTACTCTCTTCTAACAAGCTCTCTTTTCAAACTGCAATTACAGAAACTTCAAACCAGAGTAAACAATACAATTAAGCAAAAGTTTAAAATAGGGAAAACAATTTCAGACAAAATCGTTTACTTGCAAGCCAGATTAAAACTAACAAATCTAGTGAACAATCAAGATCAGACACTAATAAAACTTCTTATTGCTAAACTCATCAACACAAAAACACAAGAAGCTCTGTTATTTGAAATAAACTCTTTACAAGCTAACCTTGCCATCTGGCTCTGTCCAATATAGAAATTTCCAGAAACATGGATCACATGAGTGGCAGCAGCATCAAAAATATATAAAATTGACATTTGTCTTACTTCTTGTCAACACAATTATTCCAAAGAAGAACAATAACTAGGTCTTTATTTTTCATTTAATAACAAGTACCTAAAGTATCAGGTATTAAGGTTGAGTAGAGAGAACATCAAGTTTTTAGAAGATCTTCTTGCTTGCCAGTCAAGCAGAAAGCTAACTTGAAATGAGTTTAACATACACTTCCACCCTATATCAAAAGGTCCTATTCCTACCTGATTCAACAAAATCAATACTACCTCTGCTTATAAAGGAACCTTAACCTGCATTCCAAATATGAGAGCCAGGTTCTGTACTTTTACTAATAATAATAATAAACTAAGCTTCATCAAAACAAGAATCAATTGCAACTATACTCACCCCTATCTAAAAGAAATTCACCACAAACTGACAACAAACAGGACCTTCAAAAAATGTCAATGTCATTTCAACAATTTCCAAATCCTAATTTCAGCTACTAATGCAATGTTCCTTTGGATATACAAGTCAAATAATGAACATTGCTTAGTTAATGCACTAGAGGAAATCTGACTTCAGATCCAGTACAACACCATCCTGAACAACAATTCAAGAGTAGAAATTAGCTTCTATGAAGACAGAGATCTACCAGTTTAGCTCAATACTAATACTATAGAAGATCTCAAACAAGTTATCAACCTCAGTAGACTTTTCCTCTACTTTAATATTGAAAGCAAAGATGAACTGCTAACAGTGCACGGACATGACACCAATATAGCTCTTTATCCAGAAAACCTACAGCCAATTAATCTTTTCTTAGGACTGATCAGTTTAGTGAAGACTACCAACTAGGGTTCTGAAAAAGTACCAAACTGGTATTGAACTGGTATCAAAATGGTACTGATCTATAGTAAATTTAATATATAGGTTGTGATCTACTCATATGTTTTTATAGTAAATTTAAGTATCGAAGAGGTATTGAAGTGTTATTGTTAGAAGCCCTACTGCCAATAATCAAATATATATAGCAGTCAATCTTCCAAAGAAGTTAAATCTACATATTCAAAGCTACTCCAACCAAAGAGTCAAATTCTTATATAGCTCTTTAATAGAAAGAATTAATAGTATATGTGAGTACAAAAACATCAAATTAAGATTAGAATCAAGTCTGGTCATCTCAGACTATCAAGACAGTGACATAATCATAGGGATCGATAATATATTGGAGCCAGTAAATTATACCTCAAGCCCAAAAATTAAAAACAATTGAAGCTTTAGCCCAGATATTTGGACAAAAAAAATTTAACGAACATTTAGACTTACCAGTGTCACACAGAGCTCGTCAGTCAAAAACAGGTAAAAAGCCAGCATGAAGGTATTGTTACTCCAAATGCTAACCAAAGCCAACAAGCTGCTTAACAAGAAAGATAAGATAAACATCACCTTCCTACTAGCCTTTAAACTTAAATTGTTAAGTGAAACACTGCCATCAAGACAGCTATTGCATAATTGCTATCCAAGTATTTACATCGATAATATCTGCCTCAAATGTCTCACAGCAGTGGAAACTCAAAGTCATATCTTTGATTGTTATAAAAATATTGCAGCATACAACAAAATCAAAAACAAGCTAAAAGCAAGTATAACAAAGCTCGCAAGAAAAAACAATGCCAAAAAGAACCCATCAGATATCGAAAGCAAAATATAGAAACTAAATTTTGGCTAAAAATCTAACCTGGATAAACTAGCATATGAAATATTGAGTATAGACATACATTTACCAGTCACCTGCCATGTCAAATTAGCAAACAAAACACTAGCCCTACTATACTCACAAATTTGGATTTCAAGATCAGCTACAGCAAACATATTCATAGTAAAAGATGTCAAATGGAAAAAGCATACTTCTCCAATCAAAAGCTCTAATAATACTCTTATATCAAAAACCATTCCAGATAACGAAAGTTTAATGAAGTTAATTATGGAAGTCACAGACTTATAAGCAAATCACAACAGTAGCCCTATTAAATCACAAGTCTTTATCTCTGCTCTGGAGAGGCATTAATCATCCAGCACTAATCTAATCTGAAGTACATTAAGTGTAAATAGGATAGAGATAGATAGCATTGTAGATAGGTTAACATTAATTTATAAATTTAATTTTGTAAAGATATTTGATATAACTCGAATATGTTATATACTGTATATTAATAAAGTTTTGCATCTGATACCCTTTTATGACATAAAAAAAAAATAGGTTTATTCCTTTACTTTTTAAATATATTACTATTCAATAATTTTTTAAAGCTTTTTAAAAAGTGTTTCATATTTATAAAGGTTACATACTGTCTTAGTTTATTAATCTCATAAATACATTATATTTAGTTCTATACAATATATTATTTTTTTTGGTATTGACCAAACTCTTTTTTCAAAAATTTGTATTACTTAAAATTTTTCTTTTTTAGTAACTGACAAAATTCAAAAGAGAAGCAAAACAACAAGTGCTCTTGGGAGCTTCTCTCCTAAGGGCAAACCTCTAAACTCTTCTTATATTTTCTTGGATATTGTAGTAGCAAACCCAAATGAATGTCTCTTTTCTGTAGTATATAAGAAAAGCAACTCAAACATCATCCAAATTACTGAACCAGCAAAAAATGTATCTATCTCAACTCTAGCCAACTTCCCCAAATACTGGATTGTTCCTCTACAAAACTCAACAGTCAACAGCAACTCAAATATCACCAACGACTCTCTTCTAGTGGACATTGCCTTCATTGTCTTCAAACAAGTGTCAACTGGCCTCAACCCCTCACACTTACACACAATAGCAACACTAACCATCAACAACATGAAAAGCAACATCCAAAACAATCTTAATAACTTTTTTCAATATCAGGAAAGAAATAATCTTGCCCAAAGCATAAGGGAGACCATCACTAGGAAAGTGTTAGACAGCAATTTAAATTACACCTTTCATCTGTCCTGGAATCAAGTTAACATAATTAAAAGTAAAAGCAAATTCAGTCTTGACAAAATCCAGAATGTACCAACTCTCACCCCACCCAACATACCTGTCCAGGATAAAGAACTTGAAGACAAAAAACAGACTTTTTAAATAAACTTAAAAGAAAAAAAATCCATATCCCAAATTCTCAAAAAAACTCCAAACAGCTTATTCCTATCAAATAATCAACTTAACATAAGCACCTCAAATATGATCAAAGTCAGTAGCATTGCAAATGCATCTCCTGTAGCACTTGAAAGTTCATATGCATCAAGTGTAACAGAAGTCGTATCACCAAATAACAGTGATCTTTACAGCCCAAGTGACATAATACAAGTGAATGATCACCACCATACAGTCACTATCAATAACAATTATGACAAATCAGGAAGCACAATCAGACCCACCAGTCCATATTCGGACAATGATGTCTCTATGGAATCATTGGATCAAACAAACTCCATAGGTAACATTAGTTTTCTGCTGGAATTTGACTGCCAGATTCAAGAAGAACTAGCAAACACATATGGCAACATTTCTATTGCTCACCCAAATCCAACCCAAATCAAATAAGGAGAAAAAACATATTAGATAAGGTAGAATGGCCAAATGAAAAGCAAAATCTAATTAGAGATCTGGTAAACTCCCTATGTTCATCTTCTGCAAATGATTCTTTAGAAAACCTGCTTCTTACAGCATCACCAAGTGCTAAAGAAAATAGAATAATTGAAATACTTATGGAGAGTGACCCAACCTTCAATCATCACATAGACGATCCCTCAAACAATCAAATAGTAAACACAAATGGTCTTTTTGTTAGTGAACACGATACAATTATTGACTTGGCATCACAGCTATCTTCATGTTGCACCAATGCCAAAGCTATAGCATATTTATTTACTAAAATCAATACTACCCCAAAGGATTCAGTCCAATAGGAACCTCATTTCGCAATCTTTACCAAAATCCTCCTAAGAAAAAAACCTTCTTCAGAGCATTTACCAAAAACAATTTACTTAAAGGAAACCACCAGATCGAATATGAAGCACTAGAAGTCAAAGCATATAAAAACTACAAAAAATCAACAATCTTGGCTATATCAGCAGAAGAATCAAAAGGAAAATCAGATGGATCCTTAACTCAACTCTGTTTGTAGCATGCCTTAGGTTTACAGATCTCAAAAAATTTAGATATTTTGAAATAGTACAGATTCTCGAATTCAGATGTAATTACTTTCTTAAAGACTACAATGACAGCTTAGATTATATCAAACTGTTGGACTTAATAAAAGAAATCTTATACAAATCACTTCCATCTCTGCCAATCAAACCAGAGCTAATCCCTCCTAATATAAACATTAGGCTTCTATGCCCACTTCCAATTAAAAGAAAATTGTTTCTCTCCTTGGTAGTTACCATACTAAGAATGCACTATAAATTTGAGCAATTGCTTGATTCATACTTCTTTGACTTTTCTCCTCTCCCAGAAGATCCAAAACATTTTAACAAAGAGACTAAACATCTTTTTCTAATAACTAAGAGGAAAAACCTCAAAGACCTAACAGCAAGAATTAAAGAACTAGCTAAGTTTTACGAAGTCCCTACAAAGCTCCCAAAGACCTACTTCAACTTGCCTCCATCAAAAATATCATTTCCAGCATTATATAAACTGCTCCCAAAACACCTTGCGACCTATTTTCCACATGATCCAATTACAATGGATACCAAAGAACTTATAGATATCCTAAGAAATGAGTACAGCCTCAGAACTTTGCCCTTAGATTATTATAAATTCAAAAGATCACTTCTTCACTCTCCAAATCCACTGCTGGATGAACTCGATATGACTATTCCAGAAAGAACTAAAGAAGGTTCCATGCGGCTAATCAAGCATCTAGAAAAGGATGTTAAGTTTAATCTGCCTTTCGGCTCATTGTGGATTGACTCATCCATATTGCAAACCAATAAAAAAAAGCTTCCAGTCAAAATTATATATTGTTGTCCTCAACGGCGAGTCTGTCGCTACTCCGGACCAGGACTCGTGCTACGTTGGGTGAGTGGGTCTG